TCAGGATCCTAAAGCTGGGCTGTTCCGGGCAGACCTGAGGTTAATGAGACATCATTTCCAAAAGGCTGAGACACCAGCTCTGCAAGGTGGAGCCTGCAGTCAGCCAAGGTGGTGTCAGCCCGGGGAAGTGATCATTACACGGCGTCAGTAGCACTGTTTATTTCCTCCAGCCCATACAATGATTTAACTCGATGGTGGTACAGGCAGGATTTTCAAAAGGGTAGTGCTGCTCCTGCAAAGCCAGGTGAGGTCAGCTGGAGGAACGGCGTGGGCTGAGTGATGGCTATAGTGCCATCACAAACCCCCAACACGGGGTTGCCGTGTTTTCTTGGGAGGTTGTTCTACAACCTGCCAGGTCCCTCTGTGTGGAAGAGGTTGGTCACCCCCAGCTGGACACGGCAGCAGACCTCCTCCACTTGGCTGTGACTGCTCCAGGAAAGCATCCAGCAGATGGGGATGCTCCAGATTACCCCTCCATACCAACCATCCCACCGCTCCTTGCTGTCTCCTCTCCACCTGCCGACCCCCCAAACCATACTCCTGTGGTCCCCACCAGCCTCACCCAGAACCCACCTCCCCACACCAGAATCAAGCTTGTTTCTTCTCTCACTTTCCTTGTACACCTCCAGGAAACGGAGCTCTGGCTCTCTGCTCCTGAAGACCATCACCCTTTCCCCTAATCACAACCGTAACCATTTCCTTCGTACTCACCCTCATCCAAACAGAGTTGTGTGCTCCCTACCTCCCAGACACATCCCAATTCCCACTATTTTGGAACGAGGCAGTGGCTTCCGCCTCCGCTCACTTTATTTCCGTAAATATTGCTCTCTCAGAAGAGCCTCTTCCCCATTCCTTAGGTAATACTAAAATTTGGATTTTTACAGGGGGTTTATAATCCCACTGTTCGGTTCACTGAGCATTTCAGTTTGCAAGATTGGAACTTATTCTCCTCTGTGGCAATTCTATTATACGGCAACTTTTCCAGAGAAAGTATTTCACAAGCAGCCACCGAAAAAAAATGTGGCTTGAGCAGTCTCCCTGGCTGGCTTTCTGAGGCTGGATAATCATAGTCTTTCCGAACTCCAACCTCAGGAACACAGTATAATGGCAAATGTCAGGCAGACCACTCAGAATTCAACAGAAGACAAACAGTTTCCTTTATTCAGTATGACATCTTGGAAAGACTCCAGGAGAAGCTCATACATCCTCCTGGCTTTACTACATTCATTTGTTCCAATCCATCCTACTTCCCCCCAGAGATACCTCCTCTCACTGCTGGGTACCTGCTGCTCTCATGCACGTAACCCCTCTGCTTGTGCAGGTGACTTTAGGGACAAGTGCCACACCACAGCCCCGCTTAGCCCCTACAGCTGTGTCTTGATTTACCAAAATGTGTGACAAAGGGACAGAAATGGTTCTGTGTGAAGAAGAGGTGGCTGCTGTTGGGAACAGGTCTGCTTAGCCTGCCATTTTTTGGTGCAGGGAGTAAGAATTTAACCTAACTGGACTCCCTGGGAAGTTCAGGAGTGTTGTGGCACGGATTCATCTCATTCCCTAGAGCGCTGGGGCTGGTTTGAGTGTCATGGAGCACCCAGAAGCAGGACCAACGGCAGTGCTGATGCTGGGGAGTGGTTTTCAAAACCTCTTCCTCCAGCCAGCAGCTGTGGCTGGACGTGGGGTAAAAGGAGTGAGCTGGCTGTCAGGAATTCACAGACAGAAGCGGCGGAGCACAGCCTGGTAAAGTGCTCAGCTCTGTGGCATTTCTCTTCTGGCCTAAAGAATTTTGGAATGCAATAGCCCACCCGCCCCAAAATGAACAGTGATGTTTCCTCTATTAGCAGTCAGAGCTTTCTTGGTTTGGTAGAAAAACAGAAAAAAAAAAAAAATGAGGCAGAAAGTCTTTAGCAACAGGGCAGCAAAAATGCCTTCAGCCATAAGAACCCTCTGGTCTACAGGGCAGAAAAAGGTGGACAGCAGTGGCCCTGTGGGGCTGAGGTTAGTCAGTAAGTGCTATAATTAGGAAATAAATAGCGTGCTAAATAAACCCCGAGCAGAAGCTTTTGAGGAGGGTGACAGAGCTGGAAGTTGGCAAGGAGCAGCTGAACGAGAATGCGATGGAAAAATACTGAGCAGGTGGGCCACGTGCCACCTCCCCAGCCCCGGTTTGTCTGATGCAGCCCTTCTCCCATCCCTGGCACTTGTCTCCTTACGTTGTCAGCTCCTGGGGACAGAGGCCGGTCTATTTAGAGATCTGCAAAGTGCCCATTACGCTTTTAGACACCATTTTCAGAATATACGTAAGAGTCCAAAGAGCACTGTGCATCCAGATCCAACAGGCTCTCAAGCAGCACGGCGCTGCAGCCCGCGAGCCAATGCCTCGCTGGCACCGCAGGGAAGGCAGAGCCGGGGAAGAGGAAAAAGCACTGCCTTTATTTCCATCTGCAAAGCTTTTTTGTGCTCACATGTCACTGACAGGCACTTCGCTTATTTTCAGCTGGCAATCAAACCCTCTCATAAGAGCTGTTTTCCTTTTTTTCCCTCCCGCTCCACTGGCAGAGAGCAGCACCCCGATATTTCCTCCAGCAAAAAGGTTCCCTCAGAGTTGCAAAGTCCCCGGGAGTCCTTCAGCACACGGCGAGTTTGCTGAGCAGGAAAAAAAGCTGGGCCAGGGGAAATGAAGCAGAAAATAGTCCGAGTTCCTTGTGGCAGCAACAGCCAAAAGAGGGAGGGATGCAAAGAACAAAAGGTGACTGTCACCACGGTGTTGTAAGGGGGTGTCTCGGGCTGGCTCAGCACCGCATTGAGTTCTCTCTGCCTGGTACCTTTCCAGTTGCTGGGTTTAAATAGATGAAATTATCCTTCAGGCTTTTTTTGGCCTCATTGTACAAAGGTAAGTGCCTGCCCAAAGCACAAGGCAAAGCTGTATGTTCTTCCTGTGCCCACAGCTCCCAGCACGTACATTTGGCCTCTTTTGCAGTAGCCACACTACTCAAAAAGGAATCCTCCTGCCTCCGAAGCGTGAGGGTGTTCCTGGACACCTCCACCCCACTTCTCTGCAGGAACATCAGACAGAAGCACCTGCTGGGCTGGAGCTGCCAAATCCCTCCCTAGAAGGCTGGGAATAAAGTTCAGCTCTTCCCAGCACCCATTCCTTCATTGGGATGGTTTGGGGTACCACCTCTGCAGCATTCATCCCCTCTGGTTCTCAGCTCTCACTCCTCAATGATGTATTGGAGCATCCCTGGTACAAAAGACTACCCTGTGCTTTATTTGTCCTCAGCAGGAAGCGGGCAGCTAAGAGATTGGTTTGCTTTGTGACGGTGTGCTTAAGAAAGCTCTCTTCTAATAGCTGAGCTTCTCTCAGCTCAGAGAAATCTCCAACAGCCTCGGGGATTTGAAGTAAAAGCCTCGCCTGGAGGCTCAGCTCCACTTCGGTGGTGTGTTTTCCTGGCCAGATCCATGGTGAGGAGCCAAGGTACACCTGGAATCAATTGGACTGCAATTTTCTGTAATCAAATTCAAACACATTCTTCAAATACTTAGTTAAGAGGCTTGATACCGGAAGTTTATCTACTAAGCCTATCTCGAAGCTTGATCACAAGCATAACTCAGCTGCCTTCAGACATACGAAACCTCAGCCCTGCTGAGCCGCTGACAAGTTTAGCAACCACCATAAACCCTGGGTATCTTCACAAGGTTAATTAAAAGCTGGAGATAAGCAATCCGGCTCTCATCTGTGCGATGTGGGATCACATCCGTACCAAGCCAGAAGTGCTCACTTTGGGGCTGTTTCTGCTCTGCCACCATCATCTCAGCAGTCCCTTCTCCGCCCTCCCTCAGAGCTCCCTGCTTCGCCGTGACTCAGTCTGTAGCAGTTAGTCATCTCTCCAGATACATAACTCTCTGGAAAATGTGACTTGCTCCTTGAGAGCTTTCGCTACGTAGGAAGCTCCAACTCCCAGTAAACAGAGGAAACAAAATGTCTGAAATCAGGGAAAGGATTTTTCCATCCAGTTATATAAAGCAGCCATTACCATAGCTAGGAACAGTTGATGTTACTAGCGACGTAACACGTGGCTCTTTTTGGGAGGCTACAAGAAAAGCAAGTTTATAAACATCGCATTGCAGACATTTTTTATTTTATTGCTTGCTTTCCTTTGGTGCCTTCCAGATGACAGCCTGTCTACCTCCGGGCAGATTTCACTGTCCCCATCACACATTGCACTTGGTGGGACGCATCCAGGCAGGCACGACTGTGCCTCTGAGGGGCTGGAAGACCCCTTCGCTCCTGCTTGACAAGGCCCAGGAGGTGGTCCCACACTGCACCCCAGGGCCACTTTTGCCACAGGGACACAAAACCTGCCTGTTGAAGGCCCAGCAACCATTTTTAAGGCTCCAAGATATTGTTGCTAAATGAATTTTAACTACAACGTAGCATTACGTGACCAGTATTCAGCACCTGGCCACACTCGGGTGGATTATCAGCAGTTTGTACCAGGCCGGAGAGGCTTGGCCCACCGGGCCCTCAGGACCACCAAGCCCTACATCACTGAAGGGTGGACGTGCACCTCCGCTGGAGCGGCTCCCCAGGCTGCCTGCCCGCCCCGGGGCAGGGGTGTTGGCTCCAGCAGCAGGATGCGGCTGGTGTTTCACCCTCATGACAGAGCTCCTACCGCCGCTCCCTGCCCGCCGCCACCCGCCCCGTGGCTACCCCGCTCTGTCATGGCGCCGGTAGCCGCGGCTCCCCACAGGCGCCGGCAGCCCCGCCCCGCCCCGCCCGCGGCCGCCAATCACCGCCCTCCGCCTGACTGACAGGTGACCAAGCCAACGGAACAGTGATGCCCCGCCCTTCTGCCGCTCTATAAGCCAATAGTGACCGCGCAGCCTGCTCCCTCCTTCATCCTGCCTTCTGGCCAATCCGCGCGGGGGTTCGGGCGGGAGCGGCGGGGCGGGACGGCCAATGGGAGGGCGAGGGCGGTGACTAAGGGCCCGCGGGTAGCGGGGCCGGTGCAGACGGGTGGGAGCTGCCGGTGGCCGAGGTGTGGGGCCGGGCCTGCAGGTGAGGAGGCGGGCGGCGCTCTGGGAACCCCTTCCCTGTCGGGCTGAGGGGGCAGCGCCAGCCGGGGCCGCTTCTCAGCGGTACGGGGCCTGAGGGGACACGGGGCGGGGGTTCTGGCCGCGGCCGGGTCTGTCAGGCGCCGGGCAGTCAGCGGTGCCCCTCAGGCTCTCCCTGCCCGCCCAGCAGCCCTCTTCCTACTTATTGTCCGCAGCAGGCTCGCCTTATGTGCTTATTTCCCTGGGGGTGGAGGCAGGGTAGCCCTGCGGTGGGGTTCGGCCTGGCCTGGCTGTGGCGGGCTGCGGTCCGGTCCCCCTCCCGGTGCCCCTGGGTTGGGTTCTTGCCGCGGTTAAAGGGCCGCGCAGCCGGCGGTGGGGCGACGGCCTTCCCCGGGGCTTCGTTGGGGTGTTGTGAGGTCGTGCAGGGGGAGAAAAGCAGCGGTGCGAGAGTCGCCCTGTGCTGGCAGGGGGTGAAGGCTGAGGCAGGAAGGGATGGGGAGCCCAGCGCGGTCCTGAGGGGGTGATGCTTGGGTGAGTTAGAGCCAGGTGAGTTCTGGCTGATGTCTGTCAGGTTGCGCTGCTTCCCCTAAATAAGGCTCTTCTCCTCTGTTACTCATACTCCTAGGGCCTGACGCTGCTACTAGCGTTTTGCAACAGCTTTAGACTTCCTTTTGTTGATGCTTGTTAGCCTGAGTGACAGGATGCTGTCCACTCCGTTCGACAACTTCGCATATAACTTGTGATTTACTCCAGTACAGGGTGGGTAGATGTATCTATCACAGTGGATGCATGACAGCTGGTGAAATCCCTCACCTGACACTAACTCTTTTAAAGAGGTATGTTAGCAGCAGCTTTACTCCCACAGTTATGGCTGGAGGGATAGCATTCTGTAGTGCCATTCTCATGCAAGTGTCCTCAGAGAATTCCTAACAGCTTCCTCTTATTGTTGGTGTGCAGTTGTCACTGGTGTGGTAAGTACTAAAAATTCCTGTCTGCCTCTTACAGATTGCTGTTTGGCTTCCACAGTACTGGGGACTGCTTCTTTAACAAATGTGTGGCTTATTAATCAGCTGACTGATACAGTGTGTTCATCTTACATACCTTGTTTATCAATGGTTATCATGGTCTGCCATGTTTTGTGATATTGCGTAGGTTGATGTGTTCTTGTCCCCACTGATACGGTGTTCATAGAACACACAGTTCAGCCATTTGTATTCGTGATATCTCATTTTCAGGACCTTCTGTGATAATGTTTATTTCCTGTGCAGGGAGTTGTGTTATTGACAACTAGTCTTTAGTTGTTCTCTTGTTATCTCTTCTTGGTTTGTCTGTTTCAGCTTCTTACCTCTCATATCACAAGTGAAGTTTGAATAAATTCTCTTGTTTCTTCTTAAATCAGTGGACGCCTTTCTTATTATTCTATTTTGTTCTCAAAGTCAAGAGTGAGAACAGGAAGGCTGTTAAAAAAGAGCTAAAAGCTAGTGTTTGGGTTCCTCTATTCTCTTGCCTTATTCTTAAAAATAGTTATATTTCAGTTTTTGCATGGGAGGTCCTTTCTGTTATTGAGTGAATTAGCTGTGTAGAGGAGGAGGCTGACCTAAGATTGTGCCTTTTTTAGGGGTAGAAAAGATGTGGAGGTTGGGGATAAAACCTTCCATCTTGCAAAACTGTTTCTGAAGAAGTTAAACTTAAGAATTAATTTGTTCTACTCTTCTTGTAAAAGCTGTATTTTTCTATTCGAGGAAGGAATAGCAGCTTAGGTTTTAAGTGTTTCATAAAGCTGCATTATTAAACTTGTCATGTGAAAACCCAGAGATTAACACGCTGAAATAGTCACTGTTCTGGGATGTGGCATTGGGAAGGAAAGCTGGCAGAATAACATCATTTGTCCTTGACACAGGCATATGGAGAGGATACCCAAATCTGTCATTCCAACTGTACTTCTAGATATAATTTGATGTACTACAGAAAATGGTGGCTTTAGAGCAGTGATTCCGACCTTCTGTAGTTGTAGTTTAACCTCACTTGTTAATGGAAATGTCCTGGGTGCTGCTGGATTCACATTGCCCTGTTACTTCTCTTTCTTGCTCTGTATCTCCTGCCTCTTCATCCTTATTTTCATGCTGCCAGCTCTGAAAGTGCCACAACTTGGATTAATTTAACAAAAAAAAAAACCTCGGAACTTAGCAAATTCTGTAGTAGACGTGTAGTCGCTGGGGTCTTTGGTGCTTATAATTCCAATTGAGAGGTGCTGATACCAGCCTAAAACTGGTGGCTTGGTATTTTTCAGCAACAGCCTGAATCATCATAGTTCTGCTAGTGTATTGGAGTCTTCATCTACACTTTTGAGTTTCTCTGGAAGGTTGTATCTCATGATGTGGTATAGCTCTGAATTGCTGTTCTTAATACGCACTCTATAGATCAACTGAACTTCTGTGCAAGTGTTTTTACCCTTCAGCCTAAATAGCTTGTGAAGATAAGGTTATATACACTTAAAAAAAACCTGATCAAACTCAGCTTGAGTTGAGTACCAAACAATCAATTTAATTTCAATGTGCAAGGGCAATCTGTCCTTATAGAGAAGCAAAGTCCTACTTGCCCAACATACGTGGGTGGCAAGTCAGGCAGTTATCTTAGCTTCTTTTAGCTCTAGGAAGCCTTCTGTGCCCAAGGGCTTGTCTTTTCTCCACCTATATCAGTTGATAATAAAGATTGTCTCTCACTGCCAGCCTTCCTCTGTCAAAGCAGGGATTCAAAATGCTTTGCAAAGCAGTTCTGTACAAACCCTGGTGCTTGAAACATCTTTGTGCCCGTGCTCCATTAGAGGTAATGGCAGTGGAAAGAAGTGTCATACTTGGCCACGGACGGTTTTCATCTCTATCTCTAGATTAATCAGAAAGTGCAGTTGCCTTCCAGTTACGCTACTGTTGAGAAACACTTGAGTTTTTCATCATCCTGGGTTCAGTTAACTGAAATAAATGGCAATGATAACTTCCTGAGGACTGAGCTCCTGCAAACACCAAACCTTTCTGAAACTTCCAATGTAGTAGTTGCTAATAATTGAGCTACAGCCCTGTTCAGGGTATTGAGTACTCAAACAGCGTAATATGGGCTCCTCAAGGAAAGGGTCAGCTTGGACAAGTGACTGGCTGCTAGTGAGGGGTTTGTTCAACAATCTGTCCTGCTAAGCTCACTTACATCTTCAAGGATACTTTTTGCATAGAGGTGCAGGTTCCAGAAAAATTCTGCTGAGGGTGTTCAAGCCTGGCCATCCCTGAACTGGAACACCCAGTTCTGTGAAGTGTTGGTTGGGCGTATGTGAATATGAAAGATTGTACTAAGTGAAATAAGCAGATGCAGAGTCATTTACAGTGAACGTTCTTGTAAGAGGTAAGGAGAAAACGTCCTAAGATGTGCCTGTAATATCCCTAACCTCCCACTCAGATTCAGCAGGAGAGTGGGCCACGTAGTTCTTCAAACTTTGAGTTGCTGGTAAAACTGCTCGAAAACCTCTGTTTTATTCGGCGCTTGCTAAAAATTGAGTATTCTGCAGTAGTGGTAGCTGTCTGTTGATCAGGTCCTGTCTCTTTGGATTTGGTTCTTTTGTTGTTGCTTCATTTTTAATTTAATCATGTGAATTAAACTTCTCTAGTGTCAGCCTTCTATCTGTCATGGACAGACTCTGAGAGAATGACTCTGCAAATCTTCTGTACCGCTGTGGAGCGGAGCTGCTTCTCAGGGGGAAGAAAATACATAAGGTGTTTGAAGACCTTAAAGTGTCACCTCAGCTTTTGATCATGTCCAGATCTAGGTGTTTTCAGACTGCTTGAACCAAACTGGTCTTGAATAAAGTTCTCTTAGCTGTCTTAGTTTGTGCTTTGGTGATATAAGGCTTTTCCCTGCTGTGCAGCCAGGCTGGTGCAGTGTGTGCTCCCCACTTACTCAGCTGTGTACCCTGTAGCTGAGCAAACAGCTGTGATGTGCTTGGACTTTGGGCTGCTCCTCTGATATGTACACCTGAGCTCTGTGACAGTGTGGTGATGGAGGGGTTGGAATCTGAGGGTCAATGAGACTTTAACAGTATGATACTGCATTTCAAAATGCAGTGAGGAAATAGAGCAGACTCCTTCAGGGAGGTTTCATCTGTCACGCAATTTGTCTTAGCTCACTTAGCCATCTGTGGCTTGGTGCTAGTGATGTTCCCTCAACTACTGAGCATGGATTGTTGAGTTGTCTGCAGTGTGTTTATTGAACTTCTTCCTTTAAGCTTAACACTACCTGCTGACACACAGGGTTATGTGGTAGGCAAGTGGCACCTGCTAATGCTATAAGACAGTGGAAAGATGTCAGCCAGGATTTCTTTTCTCTCAGTACCTAAAAGTAGGCTTGACTTCTTCTCCAAGGAGCTGAAGCTTTGCCCTGTACTTCCACAAGGCAGTGGTTAGCGTGTGACAAAGTCCTAAGTCTCTGCAGTAATCGAATAATTATGTTTGCTATAATAACACGGGCCTTTCCTTTAAGATAAGATGCAATTAATTGATTTCTGTGGAGTTATTCAAGCCTTGTCTTTTTTTTTAGTTAAAATTGTATATCAGGTGTGTGCAATAAAAGCTAATGCAGTGTTTTTTCAATCCAACTGTGACAAACAGAAACCAGATAAGGTGACATACAGGGAGTCTACGTAGCAACCTTCTTGGATAATATACAAAAGCTGCCTGTCATGCAGTAGAGCCATTTTGAGTAGTTAAAATAATATTGTGAAGAAACAAAAGCAGTTCCTGTAGTTGGAAGGAAGTGAGATTCAAGGCTTAGTTGACTAAATTAGCCTTCTTGGGGAAGTGAAAGAAGACCTAAAGAGTCTTTGGCCCTGTAGAATGATTCTCAGGTGCTTTCTTAAGCAACCTGCCTTGGCAGGTACACCCAGCCCTTTTTGGTGCTTGGCTTCTGCTCTGAGGGTGTAGGGCTTCTCAAAGTGGAAAAAAAGGAGAAAAATCTCCAGTTAAGGACATCTGTCTTTCTGGCTGTGCTCATGGTACCTCATGCTATGAACTTTGTCCCTGTGACCTCAGAGTACCTCTAAATTCAGTATCTGAGCCAAGTAATGCATCTGATGGAAAGGTCAGACTCCAATGAAGGCACTAGCCAAGAAATTCTTGTCAGAACATGGTGTAAACAGAACCTGCTGCTTTGTATACTTACTGACCAGCCAAATCCTGTCCTGGGTGCTGGCTCTGGCACGAAGTGGAGGGATTTGCACCAAGGACTTCTGTGTGCTGTCCAAGTAATGTTCTTTTAAGCATCCTTGTGATGGGACATGTCATGGTGCCCTCTTTATTTGAAGATAAAAATCTGTCAGATGTTTGACAACAAAACTGCGGTGGTCTTTGTCAGACGACTCCTGATGACTCTGGTGAGGACTGTGCTTTATCTCTCATGACCACATCTCCTGAAAAACTAAGCTTAAGTGCTTGAAGTGCTCAGTTAATTCTTAATTATACCCTCCATGCTTTGAGGTCTGAGACTTAATTGGCTGTTTTAAATGGCCAGAAGTACCAAGCGGGTACATCAAGGTGATCTCAGCGTTTGCTTCTGACGTGTTTGCTTCTGAGCTACCACTGAAGATAATAGGAGGTTCTGCATGGGGTAAGCTTGGTTAGATGCCAGGCTTGAAATAAGCACTGTGATGCCTTGCTTTATGTATCTAAGCTGATGAGGCATAGTACTGGTGTGGCCCTAAAATACTTGTATCTATGTAATTCTTTGGAGACCTTAAAGTAACATTTAGGCTTAACACTCTTTTTCTGTAAAAATTAGAGCATCTTCTACACCAAAAGTGCTGGGTAAAAGGCAGGATACAGGATGGTGGAATAAAGCCTGAGTTTTTTTATGATTCCTTTTGCACAGCTTCTTGTACTCATGTAGCTTGTGTGACCTCGGACTGTCCTTCAGTGCTTTACAAAACCTTAGCCTGGCAGCATTTCCTGTCAATCACATTGCTTCAGAGTCTTTCCTAAGTGTATACATTCAATACATATATTTTCATCTGGATGGTCTCTAACATCTTCCTCTGTATTTAGACCATTGAGAGCTCAGCAGTGGACACCTCTTGTACACTTCATGGGGTGAGATTCAAATAATATGATGGCATAAAACTCAGCTTTGTTTAAAAACCTTTGTAGTACTCTGACATTCCACCCTTTCCTTCTCCATAATGTGGTTCTAAATATCTTACCTGATAGTGACGGGCCTGTAACTTTCGGTTTTGCAGCATATCTTTTGGAAGAGGCATTAGCTTTGGCTGAAATTAAAGCTGATTAATTTCCTGGAAGCATTCCTTAAAGAACTAACTTCAGTAAGAGAGTCTTCTTCCTTCTGCCTTCAAAGGCGGGGGGAAACACCCTTATTTCTGATTGGAATCTGCCTTGGCACAACTCTTTAAAGTAGAGGTTTCTATTTTTCTTTCAGTCTAACAAACTTACTTTCACCCAAGCAGGCACTACAAAAAAAGTGAAACCAATTCAAGAAATGTCTGATAAACTTGTTAACGAAGTCTGTCTGCTTAATCTGTCTAGAAATGGCCTCTTTGGCTCTTCTGAATCTTAGTGGGGAAGAGCGAGGGTATTGCACTACTTGGTGGAAGCTGTAAAAGGACAGGAAAGGGAATTTTAAATGCTTTCAGTGTTGGCCAGGTATGCTCCAGTGTTTTGGTATCCAGCTGAGCTCTGAAGAAAGCACTAGAGATCCAGAACACCAACTGGTGGGAGGGTATCTAGGAGGCTTCTGTATTTGCCATTCCTGGAAACAGGTTTCCTTCAAGATTCTTCAGTGATCGTAGCGGAGCATAAAGATCTTGCTTGTGGAGCCCCTCCTAAAGAGGCTGCCTTTTAGTCTTGTCTGTGGGCAGTTCCATACAGCTGCATCTTCCCTTTAGCCCAGATGATTTCCAGTGCTTCAGTGAAATGAGTCTCCCAGGCTTTCAGCTGCTCATTAGAAGGCCTGAGGGAAGTACCTTATGGGAGTGGCTTCCTTGAATGTTTTGTTGGGTTTTTTTTAATACTGGCTTCCCAGTATGCAGAGTCAGGCTCAGCTTTGGCATGGGTGGAGGAGCTGCAGTGCTTGGCTACAAAATCCTTTGTGTGCCATGTTGACTCACAGGGTGAAGTGGCTTCAGTTCCCTGGAAAAGTCTCCTCTCCCCAGGCAAGCTGGAACAGAAATGTGTACAGGTCTCAGTGAAGTCATGACTGACAGTAAATCCTATTGTACAAGTAAAGATCTTGGTGATGGCTTTCCCAAAACGCAGTGTCTTTGAAAGGGTACATAAGGAATTTGCTGTAGCTCTACTGGCTTTTGTTGTACTTGTTTCTATTCCTGTCTGGAAAGGGGAGACATGGGCTTTTTTCTTGTACGTGCACAGGTGAGGTGTGCTCTGTTAACAGCAGTGCTGAAGTGTTTCCTGTAACATGATTTTCAGCTTTTTATTCTGCGATGAAAGGGCAAATGAAAAGACTCCACAAATCCAGCCCTCCAGTGACCGATTTTCAAGTTACTCCTCAGTCACAAATGGGACTTGAGAAATATTGCTTGAAAAAACTGTCAGTCTTTGGGCTTGTCATGCCTTTAAGTGATTTTTAAAAAAAGGAATTGTATGCTTAAGGTGCTTCAAAATAACATCCCTGGCCCCAAGAGCTTCAACTTCTTTGTGTTCCTCAATGTGTATCTTAAACCCTGTGATGGATGAAAAGGCAGGCTTGATTGCTCCCGCTAATTTTGTGTAGCCTGCTGAAAGTAAATCTAGTGTTCTGTATACAAAAAAGGACAAATGTTTGTCTGTTTATATTAATGCTGACCCATTTAGAAGAGATTCTAGATTAAAATTTGACTGGCTCAACGCTGTGTTTATCTGTCCTTTTTCGTAAACAGACAAGTTTATTGGGTCAAGGCAAAAAAGGTTTAACAAAACAGAAGCAAGGTGACCTCATCCCTGCTCGTAAATAGGGAGGCATTTGTCCTATGTGATTAGAGGCAGAGCTCTCAAATCCATTTTGGTAAGCTAAACACGTAAAAGTTTAGAGCAGAGTGCTCTGGTTTAGCCCCTGTGAATCTGCCCTTGCTGAGACAGGTCTATTTAGGTCTTCAGAAATACCAGATTCTTGAGGAAGGCCCTGAAGTGTCACAGCTGGATCCACAGGGCATGGAGTTTACCAATCTGGCCTTTTTGGACTAGACCCATTGCTAAGTTCATCACTGCTGACAGCTGTGAGACAGTAACAGCAGGGCCAGCTTTGGGTTAGCTGTGCATAGGCTGATCGGAGCTTTTAGGTGAAAATCCTGACAAATACATGAACCCCTAGCACATGTTTGAAGTGTGTATGTTCAGTGAATGTGTATTTAGACTGTCTAAAAGGGAAAAATACTAGTTCACAAGCGTCAAAGCATAATCCTGCCTACCAACAGCTGTTTTTTCTGGAAAAGTCCAAGCTAGTATATGCTTTTTTTTAAGGTAGCGACAGGCAAAAACTGGATATAGGAGTATCAGAAAGATATGGTATGTTTGTAGTCTGAAGATCGTGTGGGAGAGAAGACTCTCAGTGAGATACAGCTTAGTTGGATCAGTTATACTGAGTCACTGGTACAAAATGCTAATGACTAATCATGCCCAGTTTTATTTTTAACAAATTCACTAATGCTGTGAGAGCTGTAAACAGCAAACTAGCTTAAAATCCAGGTGGCAGGAAGGTCTTAAGTAATTTTTGTATCAGTGTTTCTATTCATTTTCTAAATAAAACAAGGAAGGGAAGGTGCCAACAGAAGAACTTCAGGGAGATTTAGCTGGGCAAGTCTTACTCAGGCACCTGATTGTCCTTGAGTTAGGAATTGTTTGGGAACTCAATCCATTCTTCTGCTGATTGTACCTTCCCTGGAGAAGCTGTTGCTGTAGTTTGCCTGTTGTCTCCTGTGCAGTTGGTGGTACTGTTGGTGGAAGTCTACATAATGTGGAAGTGAGCTAACATACTGCAGCTGAACGTTGTACTTGAACTCTTCATGGAGACACATGATGCCAGTGTAATTTTCTGATTAGAGGAATAAATGGCTTGGAAAATAAAAGCTTCAGAGTTGTCTGACATCAAATGTCTCTTCTTCCCTCACCCTCTGTTCTCTTGCAACACAGACAGTTATGGTGGCAGAAACTTGTAGCTTTCCAGCATGCTGTTAATCAATAGCTGATGTCAGACTTGTTTTCTTCCAAGGGATTTTGGTGTAGCTGCACTGAGTACAAAAAGTACTTCTGAGGTTTTGCCTTCATGCTAGGAAGACGATTAAGGCTTTGGTATGGCTTGTGGTGGTGGTGTGAGTTGGAAGTAGCAGCTGTGGTAGAGAGCAAACTGTTTTGGAGCTTTTTTTCTGAGCTCCAATTCCCCGTTGCTTTGTTGTGCCTGTAGGGAATCCAGTTCTAATTGTAAATATCGCTTACTTTTTTATGGTTATGGGCTGAAAGCTATCTCTCTGTTATTGGCATCATCAAATTCTTGTAACAAGCCTTGGTGCCTGTGTGCTAGTGTTAATTAGGTGCTTGTAGCTGAGCCTCCTGGTGGCTCTCACCATCTTGAAGTCTGATATGTTGTAACTTCTCAAAAAAGCAAGTGTGGGAACAAGCAGAGACTGTTTACAAGCTTCCATCTGTAGGAGAGCGAGCTGCCTTGCTAAGCCTGAGTAAAAGTAGCGGGAAACTTCTTTCAGGCTGGCTTTACACTTCAGTAACAGTGTAGATACTGCATGAAGTTGGGAAGAACAGTAGCCTTTCACTTCTAGTCTTTTAAATATGAAGGGACTTGGGTAGTGCTTGCAACTGAGGACAATGTCACTGTCTTGCAAAGGTGGTAACTTGTGGTCTTCTAGCAGTTTGGCTTTCCTCTGAAGTTGCACTGGTTTTCATCATTGCTTTCTGTCTATCTCTAGTCATGAAGGTGTATTTGCATACTGCAGATAAATTAATATGCTCTAGGCAACTGATGTAGTTTGGAATCTGTCCATAGGCAAGAGGTCTGTGATGCAGATGGATCATCTGCATTCAACTCTAAAGAGTTGAAGCGATTGTGACTGAATATACAAATCGTTTGCAATGGGATCTCTGTATAAACTTTATGTTCTTTCCTTCCAGCTGAGAGATGCATCCTTAGAAGTAATAATCAATTTGCTTTTTCTCTCCTCACAGGGTAGCACGTGGATCCAGACAGTAACCATTCTACTGAGGTCTGGCAATTATTTCTAATTTGAAGAAAAAGTGAAATTGGTAAGACTTTGATTTGTCACTTGCTCTCTTACTTGGGTTACCCACTTGGCTAAGGAAAGACCCAGGGGAAAAACCTGCCCCTTCAGCATGGATGAAATGTCCCTGAAATAACTGCAACCAGCTATTTGAACCATCTCTTCAAAAGAAGCTGAATCAGTTTAAGAATTTGATTTCAAGCTGGAAGGATATTGTTATACTGTGGGGATTTTAATTTTCTCCCCTCCCTTACTGCCTTTACTCTTAAGCCTTTGAAAGACTAGATATTAATCTAGTTCTCCTTCAGTTGCAGAACTACAGTAAATTAGAAGAAATGCCAAACTGTGATATGTGAAGTGACCACCTTAAATAGAGGAGTTAGTGCAGGAGTTGGCACCACTGTGCTCATGGAGTTGCAAAATTCAGATTGAGGAACTAATACAGTAATTCTTTCAAGTTCTCCTTTTCAAGCCTGGCTCGTACATCTGGTAAGAAGCACACATTCAAAGCTGCTGATGTGCCTTTATAGCCTGGCTTTTCACTCAGCTTCTATTTGAGCTGGATAGTCTTGGCCGAGATGCTGAGAGTATCGACTGCTGCAGGCAGCAGGGTCTGACACCTGAGATCCTGTTGCAATTCTAGTGCAGCACTGATTAAGAATAAATCTTTCCAACCGATCATCCAGTTTCTTGTGGCATTCAGGTTTTTTGGAGCAGTACAAAATAAACTTCCTTTCATCTTAAAAGTTGCTAGTCTGAGTTGATATGCGAAGATTTTTGTAGCAGTGTTAACTGACAAATTTAGTTGTTCAGCACGGTCTTGTATTTACCATGGCAATTGATACTAATAACCAACAGTATGTTGGAAAAGGCTTTAATATTGTTTTTTTTATCTCCAGGTTCAAAATGAGTACAATGTTGGAAACCCCTGAGCTGCCGGCAGTGTTTGATGGGGTGAAGCTAGCTGCAGTTGCTGCTGTTCTTTATGTTATTGTTCGCTGCTTGAATTTAAAAAGCCCAACTGCCCCCCCTGAACTCATTTACCAGGACTCTGCTTTGGCCCGCTTTCTACTTAAATCCTGCCCGCTTCTGACCAAAGAGTAAGTAGTATATTTTTTTCCATGTTGACCTGTGTTAGAGAGAGAAGAGCTGCACTTAACCATTCTTCTGCCCAGTGTGTTTCTTAAACCTGAGTGCAAATGAATGTCAGGATGTTGTCTTGAGAAAATAAGCATGTTCCAAGTGAAGCATTTCATTATTGTTAGTGTCCCAGGTACTTGGGGTTAAGACCAAGTCTTGTTGTGCAGGACTCTCCGTGGATGTATGGAACAAGTCATCCCAGCCCCTCTGTGTAGTAACTGAATGCTGATATTGTGCTATACCAGCATTATATAGCCCACTGTCTGGGGAAATGGGGGGGAGAGAGATGCAGTCAGCACTTCGTGTTCATGTACTCCCTGTTCTATTAGGGAAGAAATCTATCAGGGCTTATGGAAAGGAAATGTTCTTATGGTCTGTCCGTGCACTTATAATGAACACAGGGACAGCTATTAGTTTTAAAGTGCCTACTCTTATTTGAAGTGCCTTAAGCTGATTGAAGACTAATGAAATCTATTACTGGGTAGACCACATCATCATAACTAGTTTAATAAAGTAATGACGTACTGGCCAGCGCTGAGCCTGTTGAATCCATTTTTGAATTCACCTTATGTCAACTGAGCAGGCTGATCCTTGACCTTCCGTTCTAGGACCTCCAGAATCAGTGCAGCTGCCCTTACTTTCACCAATAATATGAGCATTTACTACAATTTCAGGAGGCTTTGGAGGGACAAGGACTTTGATTACAGTATTTCTCTTCTGCAATCACTTTGAAAACTTGCAAGTCCTATTTAGAAGCCCTAAATACATCAATTATCCAGTAAGCACTCGGTGCAGCTGCATGAACCTTCCTTTTGGATCTCAAAAGTCAAGCTGACTTAATGATAGTGGGAGATGAGATTCTAGAGGAGATGAGAGGCTTTTAGCAGTGCTGTGTTAGGTGCCTTGATTACATAAGGTGTAAGACCTTAGGACATAGGATCTGTAAATGCTTAGAGGAAACAAAGCATTACCTGTTTTAAATTGGAACCCAAAGAGAGTTCCCTGAGGCACTCTGAGGTTGGTGGTAACATAAGTTTGTGTCGAAGCTGAGCATTGAAATTGGATTCTTGATTATGGCCAGTGACTTAACTGCAAAGCAGTTGCTTCCCTTAAAAAAAAATACCAAGTAACTAGAACCTTAGTGTGTCTTAGACACTTGTCACCTCGGTGTTGGCACTCCAGATTGACATTTCTCTAGTCACTGAAAGTGCAAGTAAGAAGCTGTGCTGATTACCAGCCTTGAAGGCATATTAGTATGAAGCTAATCTTTGGAAACAGACTGTAACCCAATTCAGAACTTGTTTTATCCTGTTTCAGCTCTGTTTTCACAGCACAAGCTCCTAGCACTGCTGTATTACAGCCATGTTTTTGACTTTCACTCAGTTGGAGAACAAAGCATTCCCGAAGGAGTGAAAATGCAGAACATGTCAAAAAAACTGCAATACATCTGTTGTGTATTAATTGCAGGAGCAAAGAGCTTCTTGCAGAGGCCCAGTGCTGTGTTAAGAGCTTGCAATCGCAGGATTTTTGCTTTCTCTGGACCAGCTCAGAGCTCAGGCTTGCCAGCTTCTCTGAAAACCATAGCAGTGATTTCCAACACATAGTTCTTGGGCAGAACACTGCCTGAAGTGCTTGCATGACCCCAGGAAACAAACTCAGCTGAAACAAGCTAGAACAAAATGTATCAATAGATAGTTTTTCAGTCTTATAACCTCTATACTTATATTAGGGTATACAGGAATATAATTGCTGTTGGACATTGAAAGGGCTTACAGGAAAGACAACTCTTTAAGATGATGTATATGTGATTATGGTTTTTTGCTGTTCCGTTGATGTTATCACAGACTCTTTTCAATACAGAAATTAAAGAAAAATCAAAGAAATCCTGTATTTAGGCATGAAAGTCACCTGGAGACTAAAGGGGAACAAATACACTTAAATTCCTGCGATTTGCATGAAATAGTTTGTAGGACTAATTAGCAAAAAGCTATGTGAAAGCAGTTTGTGCCATACTCCACTGAAAAATCTTGTAAGGCTTTGATTACTTGCTAATTATTCAGAGTGTTAGGAAAGCTGATTAAGCAGCTCTTTTCAAATTCTATCATGAAAGCAAAATAAGTAGCCCAGCAATCCCTTCTGTTATATCAGTACTGGGGGTGTTGGAAGGTCTGTTATGAGACCAATTCTTCTGTACAGCTGTGAATTGGCTTTCAGACCTGGTTTGCTCAGCTCCCTTATTTTTAGGGGAGGAAGGGATGAGGCTGTTGCTGGGAAAAACAGGGTAGCAGGGAGAAAGCAGAAATAAGCGAAGTTACTTTATCTGTGCAGCTATTAAAAAAAAAAAAAAACTTGGTAAAAATATTTTTTGGAATTTATTTCCCCCTTATGGCACTATCCTCACCTATAGACTTATTCCATGCATGGTACCCATAGTGTCATTCAGTAAGGCAAGTGGTGGTGGATGAATAATTACAGAGCTTTGGACAGTAAAACTGCCTGAGATGGCTCTATGCCAGGTACCTTGTACTTGCAGATGTTAGTGCTGCTTTTTACAATTCTCTAAACTGCTAGAAGCTTTCTACGTATCGATCAAGCACTGAAGACAGAGTCTTATTGCTTACAGTAGAGCTCATGTTGTGTAACCTCTTTATTTCCCTTCCTCTATCCTGTCCAGCTCTCTACTTTAGTTTACCAAGTGGAGTAGCATAATCGGACCCTTTTTTGTTAAAAAAAAAAAACCCAACCCATTTCTTGCATGGAGGCTCTTGCAAATCAGCACAGCTATTGGTGCCCTCAAGCACTGGGGCCTGACCCCTGGTTACAGCTGTCTCCTTTTCCTGTCTTTCAAATTGGTACAGAAAGTCTGCCATCTGCTCTCTTATTCCTGGAGAGATGCAGCATTGGCTCTTTGATTCACAAAGAGAAATTTGGCCAGTGTTTGCTGTATTAGGCTAGACATTTTTTTTGGTTGTTCCAAATTTCTTCTGCCATCAAGTGTGTGTGTGTGTATATCTCTTCCTGTAGAGTCGTGCACAAGTGTCATCCTTACTGAAAATAATTATCATTGCTGTCTGCACACTTCTATCATTAATAAAGTCAAGCTCCTCAAAGATTGAGGCAAATGACTGTCAAGCCTGTTAGTAAACACTGTCAAAGATCCAACCTAGATCCTTCTCATCCTTTGTTTGTGCAGTAACCAATGCTGGATAAAGCTGCCTGGTAGCAGAAGACTCTTTTGTGCTGTCATGGCTCTTCTCCCAGATGCAAGGAGACAAGTAGTCAGAAAAGCTGGCTTCAAGCTTTTCAGTGTTCTTTTCTTCCACCTAATAGCAAACAGTGTTTGATTCCTGTCAACTCTTTAGTGTTTTACCCTGGGAGAAACACTTCCAGGAGAAAAACAAACTAGAAGAACAATGTTACTCATGGAGCTTTGGCAGGTGAACGTGTTAAGAGGTAGAGAAGAATGGCAGGTCCCTGTTGGTAGGTTGAAGCATTGACCTTGGGAAGAGAAGCAGCCTCAGGGGTATCCGAGTCCTTGATAAGTGCTCTGCAGCACTCTTGTGTTCTCCAGCTCCCATCAGCAGGAAGATGTCCTGTAATATGCATGTCTTCTTTTGACTAGAATACTTGTAGTCACTGAAGGTTGAGGAGGGTGTGGTGAGCACTTTACTAAATAAAAGCTATCTAAATTGGGAAGGAGGTGCCTCCACCAAGGAGTCCACTCTGTTCTTCATACAGCCTCTATGGGCAGCAAATGCTTCTACTCCACTTAGTTTCTTTTTCAGAGGCTCAGGGGACATAGAAGCTCTGTAAGATGCTTTTACCTGCTCTGCTCTTATCTGCTCTTACCTGTTTGCTGTGACTTCATCACACCAAACAATCTAGCTGAGCTGATGCAAAACCAGCTGCTTTCTACATATTTGTGGGGGAAAAGGTTGAAACTTGCAGACTTTTAGATGAGCTTTCTTGATTGGAATTGAAATTACCTCCCCCAGCATCAAATAAGAGACAAGGTTTGATTTGTAAAGTATCCTTTAAATACTTACAAGCTGCTCTGTAAAGGGGAAAAAAATAACCTGTTATAATGCAGGTGGCAGTTCTTAGCGTGTCCCCTGACGTGGGCAAATTGTAGACTGTCTTCTTGCCATCAGTACCCAATGTACTACAGCACATCAAAGCTGATGGAAGAGTTAATGTTTAAAGTGTTAATCTCCTCAAATGGAATGAAGTAATGCTCCAGAAATAAGCCTGTTGCTGAACTTCCACTTCAGATCTTTGAGGACCTGAATGCTGATGCTTGCTAATAAAAATAGCACGGTTTTTATGTGCTTTGTGTGAGCTGCTTATACAGCTGCTGCTTTCCTAAATTCCTGCATACTGGGTGATGTACGTGCTCTAAAATCATAATCTGCTGCCTGAGAGCCACTAAAACTTAATCTACAATCACATGTTGGAATTTTTTTTAATATTAAAATGCTAGGAGAATGTTTGTGGAACACCTAGGAATTCTCTTTCTCTCAGGCACTGTTGTGGACAGCCACCGATCAAGATGTGGAGATGCACTGCACAGCTGAAACAGTGTTTGGAGCTAAAACATTAGCATTTGTGAACAGATTTATGTAACTGGCTGTGAATTCACTTAGCCAGTTAAAGACTGATGAACTCTATACTTGTGCCGTGTAAGTCAGCTTCCATAATAAGTAACTGGCATCCGCAGACCTGTTACCCTGTCTGCCTTCTGTTGCAGAATCCTGTTACTGGAAGTTACAGGACTGGCTACTGGAAGCCTTAACTAAGTGCCTTAAATGTTTGTATTTACACAGAGTGCCTGGTATCTATTGCAGCTGACCAAATCAAAACAGGGAAATGAGTCAGTTGAAAGCCTCTGGGTCTGGAGCAAAGTGGAAAGACATTCTTGCTTCACAGAAATTGAGATTTTTTGTTTCCAGCCCAACACAACTTTGCCTTCGGATCTTCTGTGTTAATCAGTACTTGCTTATCTGTACTATTGTGGTATATCATCCTCATCCTTGTGTCGGGTGTCCATATACCTCATTGGCAAAAGGTCTTCCTGACTGCTGTTCACCACCCAGCTGGCTGCTCGGCTCCTGTCATCTCTAAACTGCTGTTGCAGAACGCTGCTTATAGCCATGGTGTCTGTGCCTGAGCTCTCCTACATCTGTGAGCAGCTTCGCTGGAACAGAGCACACCAAGGAATGCATAATGAATCATGTCTATACAGTGAAACTTGCTGCACTGGAATAATCTCTACAGTACACTGCTTTTTCAAAACCACTTTGGTTTATAGCAGGCATTATAGAGAAGTTGAAGTCTGCCATGTCTTTAAACACTTTCCTTGTTTCTACTTAATGCCAGAGGGAAGCCACCTGCTTTATGAGTGAGGGGCCCTTGTTTGGAAGACATGGTTAAATTTAGCAGTAGCGATAGTTTTAGCATAAAATCTAACCAGCAATGCTTGAATGCTCCATAAACTGGATACTACTTAGCTGCTCCATCTGCATGATATCTAGCTCATGTTTCCATGTGTCACACCCTGCTGAGCTCGTTTTGCTAAGGTAAGCCATAAGAAAAATAGCCTGAGTACATGTTCTTCTGCCTACGGGATGATTGTTTGAGAGGAGCATCTCTTTTCAGTTGTTTGCCATGAGGAATGTTGGCTTCATTGCAAAATAATCTGTGCTAGCGATTGCTGTCAGCACTGGATAGTTAGTTTTTCAGCTGGATTGAATATGAAAACGTCTCTGGAATTGTTTTTCACATAAGCTAAATTTTATTTAAGCCGTATTATCTGTTCTGTGCTTTCAGATGGTGAGGGCTCTTGCATAATTCCTGGCTAGTTTTTTTTGTCTCGCCAGTGTGGTATCATGCACCTTCATGACTGAAGAGGTTTTTTTGTGTCCTTGTCTTTGTATGGTTTCAGTAAAAGCAAGCTGAAGGTTCACACAAACCCTGGATAAAAAGACATCTTGTCCTTCAGTCCTGTACAGTTTAGCTCTGTTATGCTCAGTACTTGGTCTTAGAAGCTCTTGTAGGCTTTGTCTCAAAAATGTAGATAGAAGTCACTTATATGAAGACTTTCGAAAACTGATTTGTCTATTCCCAGAATGGGGAGTCAACAGAAATAATGTGTCAGATCATGTGCCCAGTTCTGCTGTAGGTTATAAGCATGCTCTGCAAAGTCAAACTTCATCAGCTGAGGACAGCTTTTACTGGAACATAGTGATACAGAGGCAGCACTTTGTTACTGTCACAGCTTTGTAGTAGGTTAGGTTGGCAACTTGTCTTAGTAAATTAAAAACTGCCTGCTTTTGCATCAGTCGGGTACGGTGAGTTTTAGTCTGTTTTAGTTTTTGACTGATTATGCAAGATCCGTACAATCTGGGCAACTTCTTTCCCCCTCCCTGTTGAAGCCTTATGATCAGTCTCCTGGAGCCTGGATACTTAAGGGATTTTAGGATATCTATCTCGCCATAAGCTTACTGCTTAAAGACTGATGGGCAGTAGTAAAAGAAAAGATAAGTGAGATAACAAGCTGCTGCTCTAACATTTGCAAGTATTTCAGAGCTTTAATTGCTTTGTTTATGAGTCCAAACTGCAGAAATATACTTTATGTGCTTAAGTCTGACTAAGTGGAAGTAACAAAGCTCTGCATCAGAGTACTGTCCTATGCACATTACTCATGCTGGAACTTGACCTTTGGATATTTATCTAGAAGAGTGTAGTTACATGCAGAGTGACTAACACTAACACATCTTTGCTGCAGGCAGTGTGATGCTTAAAGAACTGACTGGAGTTAACGTAAAAGACAAGCTGAGTGTTTTACTTGTTGATCCACAGGATCCTCAGAAACACTAGTCTGTGCGCTCTGCAGGGAGCAAGCAGTGAATGCACCTTTGCCCATAGGATGTCACACAGTTCTAGCCTTCAGATGGAAAGGTGGAACCCACAGGTAGCATTACTACAGCATTATGGATTGAGTCATGGGGATTCTTGCCTTGCTTTTTCTTTCCTTTAATGAAGAACATCTCAATGAACTGCATGTGCAGTTTGCCTATGTAAAAGCAGTGTAAAGGTTTGACTTACTGAAGATCAGTAGTTCAGGTAGCTTCCAGTCAGGCTATTTGAAGGCAGGTTTGGGTTTTATTATATTTGTTTTCCCCCAATGAAACTAGCTGTGACCTGAGAGGAGGCTCACTGTGGGAAGTGGTACGCTCTTGCTAAGCAGTGTGCTTCAAGCCATCTGTCTTCATTTAAACTCCAGCGGTAGTGGTGAGGCTTTGAAGACTCTTCTAATTTCCTCTCTGACAACATCCCGTGCTATGTGCTGCTGCGTCTGTTTCACTGGATGACTAACTTAGAGCTGGAAACTGAACTGTTGGTAAACATGAGGAAAGGATTGGTGCTTCCAGAGAACCTTGATTATTTTTTTATCAAGGTGGTAACAGTAATCAGTCACAGCTGTATAACTTAGCTGCTCTACCTGGAGAAATTGCTTTCCTATTTGCCTGAGGGGAAGACTTTGTTTTTTACCTGGGATAATCTTTGATTTAAAAAGCACCGTATAGAAACAGAATCACCAAAACTTTCCAATGTGTAGTGCTTAACCTAAGATTAGAAACCATGCAATAATGTTGATGTCTGAGTCTCATCTAAAAGAGCTGCCAATTGATATTATAGGTTGTATTTGACAACTCCCCTCAAAAAAGTTGCTAGCAAAACCCATCTGCAAAGGACTATTGTGAAAGAAGACAAAAAGCCAGTCAAGCACCATCTAGTGTGGGGTATGGCTACTGACCTGAACTGGTTGTAAAGTAAATGGCTAGGGATGAAGCTAGCTGCTTTTTCTTATGCTGGTAGAGCAGTGTCTCTCTTCCATCTGGCATAATAGCTGCTCTTCAGAACCCTCTGCAGTGAGCTGTGACTTGAGCAGAACCATCTGCAGTTCTTCTTGTGCAGCCTTATTTACGTCGACTGCGCTATCCTGACGCATGTGTCTACTGTGATTTGTGAGAATGCGTCTGCTGACTACTTTCCACCTCTACCAGCAACTGCAGAGGTTGAGCTTGTACAGTCCCCATCACTGCTGGGAATCTGTGTGCAGCTGGCATGATGCACATGGCACAAGCCACCTGCTGTACATATCTCCCAGGGCAGAGATGCTGGGCTGATAACAGATAGCGCTACTAGCCTCACATAGATTCTTTGAAAAGCTTTATAATGGAGTGATCAAATTCGCAGTGCACCAAGGGCTAATTTTCAAGGTTACAAGCATGAGTTGGCAGCTTCTGTAGCCTTTATTGAAGTGCTGTCTACTTCTGTGGAAATCTACTGCGGGTCTGGGAAGTGCACTTGCAAAAACGGTGTGAAACTGTACAATGAACTACTGTGTTGCAGTGGCTGTAAGAAACTTTCATCATGGATAAGGGAAGAGAACAGGAGAAAGAGCATACTGCTGCTCTTGTCTTGATAAACAAGCCTAGATAGTTCTTATTTTTATACAAAGTTGTTGTTTTGAGGAGTGTGTAGGGGGAATAGGGAGTTGTGGATGTGACATCTAAGAGCTGGCATGGGGAAGAAGGTCCAGCTGTGTAAGTAGGTAGTGTCAGCACAAAGGCAAGGGTTGTCACATTCTAGTGGATTATGGGCTTAAGTAGTAAATCTGAGCCCCGAGCTGCCTAGTTTTCTGTGAACAGGAAAAAAGCATGAAAGAACATAATCTCTGCTTCATGTGGTCTCAAGAAGCTGGAAGGAATAATTGCAGGAAGCCCTAAAAAAACACAACAGGGAGAGAGTCACTAATATTTTAGGATCCAAGGTGGTGTCAACAACTCTTGAGCTTCTTCTGGGTACCCTGCTCTGTGTGGCAGAGACCATAGCTCCTTAACTGGAATTATGTCTCCTGGGACTGCAATTCTCCTAAATGCTAAATCATTTATGCTTTCCTGTTGAGAGCTGATGTAAGTATCTTTTTCAAGGCATAGGCTTAGTCTGTCCTCCGCAGAGTGGCCCGGTGACTGCTGCACCACCACGTGGGCAACAGTATGTCTCCTGTTAAACCACTTCCAGCTCTGCTTGTACTAAAAAAAACCCAACCTGATAATTTCGCCTTTAACACCTTCCAGCTAATAGCTGTTGTTCCCCTATGTCTTTTGAGGGCCAGTAAGCCAGGAAATGGAAGAAAATCTGCTTTGTCACCTAGCTTTTAATCAACAAATGTAATTGGTAGAGTCCCCCCTCTTAATGTGAAAGGGATTTACTATTTAGTGGAGTTTGGCCAGCTCTGATGGGTTCTTCTAAAACTGCCCCAGCTTTATGTAACTCTGCTTGAGAGGCAAAATCTCCTTGTACCCTGCTCCTCACTTAACTGAGAAAAGCAGTTCTGTGTCAGATCATCCCAACTAGGAAGTCTTGGGCTTTTGGTCTTCTGGAACTTTTTATGATTCCTATGGTTTCTGCCACTGGCTTGTATGGTCAAGCGCTTACACGAGTTCATGTGGCTCAACCCAGCAGGCTTCAATGTTTCAATTAAAACAGATTTACAACATTTTACAGGTTTTGGCAGTCAGTTTGGTTGGCTAGCAACATGCTGTCCCACTCTCACGGAGGCACAAGGCCTCTGTATGTTTGGTGAGAAGCATTTGTGCGTGTTTCAATATAGAAGAATGTCTGGATTTTGGCTTCTCCTGCTGCTGTGGGTGCTGATTTCTCAGCTTTGAGAGTGTATCAGTCTCCCTTCTGATCTTTTCAGCCTTGCACAAGCACTGCCAGTTCAGTGATAGCAAAAACAATTTTGTGTTTGTTACTATGTTTGGTAGCAAGAGGGAGATTTGTTATGGGAGTGCTTATCTGCTCTCTGAGGCTTGTTAACACAGCAGGGATAAGCAATGAAATGACTGCTGCTTTCAGGTACATTCCACCCCTGATCTGGGGGAAGAGTGGACATATCCAGACTGCCCTTTATGGAAAAATGGGGAGAGTGAGATCGCCACATCCGTACGGACTTCGCAAGTACCTCACGATGCCAGATGGAGCAACAGCCACCTTTGATCTCTTCGAGCCGCGGTCCGAGCACTGCATCGGAGGTCAGTCAGACAGCTGTGTGCTGGGGGATGGATGAGGACACTGCTATTTGATGTTAATTCTGGCAAAGGGAGGGAGCTTCTAAGCAATACTAAGCAATGTGTGGAGGTTGCAAGGCCATCTTGCCGTATACTTTTATCTCAGACAGTAGGAGAGACCATACTAGACTAATGAACTGTTTGTGGCAAGGGATGGGGGGCTAAGGAACAGAAGAAATGTACCATAACCTGTGCTTCAAGGAGAGGCTGGCAAAGAGAAGCTGGTGGTAAGCCTTCTGTTTGAAGTGTCCTTTACCTGTTAAGGCTGTGGGATCATAAAACAGAGGGTAGCACTATCGGGTTCTTTGTAGCCTGGTGTGTATGGAAAAGAACCTAGACCTTATCTCTGCCTTAGGGAGACAGATTCTTGGTAGTCTTTACTAACTGTTTAAAGATCTGTATGAAAACAAATTCCATGTGCATGCTATATGAAGGAGCCCAGATATGACAAGAACTCCATGGAAAAAGTACAAAAATCACAGTGATTCCTTACAATATTATGGTTGTGTATTCAGAGTGAATGTCAGCTTTCAAACTCACTGGTTACTACTAGTGACAGCAACATTTAAAACTGAGTTACTATGGCTTGGCTTCAGAAATACAGTTTACCCCTGCAGTAGTTGACTTCATTCTAAGCCCATGAGTCCCATTTGGCCTTTGGAAAGAGTTCTTCAGTATGTCAATATTGAGATCCTCATAGTATAACACTGCGCTAGAACAGTTACTGTTGTCTTTATCACTGAAGAGAATTTGAGCAGTGTGTTCCTAATGAGGCAAAAAAAATCAATGGCTGGAGCTGCTAAGTGTCAGAGCTTTGCACATAAGTGCAGAGAGTCTGATGGCTTATTCCAAGCGCATATGCTAATCCTGAATGTAATTTATGGTGCTTACTTGAATTACAACAATTACTTTCTTAGTTGATGAAGCTATAATCTTGTTAAACTAGTGATCAGTGTCAGCAGATCAAATATCATTAGATTAGCCATCATCTGCTTTGTGGCTAATGTCAGTTGATCAGAATGTCTGTGCTTAGCAAAGCTTCATTTTGAAGATCTGTTACACCCAATTCTGGAAGGGAAATGAGGGTGGAAATAGCGTAGCCAGCCTAGTTGGTGCGTGAAGAAGCAGTGGGCTCAAGAGCTTACACACAATTTGTGGTCACAACAAGCTGTCAGAAGGCAGAGCATGTGTAATGTCAAAAACATCATTCAAAGGGAAGAATTTACTCTTGGTCTCTAGGCAGTGTCTGTAGAACTGTTTGAACAGTTTTCTAACTTCAGGGAAAGCTGCCCATCTCCTGTAACGTGAATTACTCTCTCACATCTGTAGCACTAGAGCTGCTAGTCTGCTGTCCCATACTGGATTTTTGGCACACTAGTAGGATTTTTAGCTTGCTTCTGGTAGATGGTTTCCCACGGATCTGAAATGGAAACCTCCTGAATCTCTTTCATTTGCATGAAGTGACATTTACTTAACTTCCCTCTCTTTTTCTCTGCACAGAGGATGTCACGATGGTAATCTGCCCTGGGATTGCTAACCACAGTGAAAAGCAGTATATCCGCACTTTTGTTGACTATGCGCAGAAAAATGGGTACAGGTGTGCTGTGCTGAATCACTTGGGAGCCTTACCAAATATTGAGCTCACTTCTCCACGAATGTTCACGTACGGTAGGTACTTCATGGCAACGGGGGACTTATTTTCAAGCTTGTGGAATTCCTAGGGCTTGATCAGCCTCCTTCAGAATAACACAACTGCCATATCTGAATGAGGGTAATAACTTTGTTTAGTTCCTAAGAAACGGTAGAGAACTTGCATGTGAGGAAGAGGGAGTGTTCACTTTTCCTTGTCTCTTTTCCCAGCTCTTACACGTGTATCCTAATCAAGGAGGCAGTTTTGAAAAAAGCTCTTGTGGCTACTAAGCCTGCTCAAATGATTTTAGAGGCACCGAAATGTCAGTTTAGTGGAATGTGAGGCAAAATTGGCTCTGAAGGATAAATACTACTTCTGAGGCTTTGTAAAATATCATACAAGAGGAGCTTGTACGAGCCTTTCCAGAAAATACATTTCTATCCTAGGAGGGACACATGAGGATCGATCCCTGCATGTAAACCAAATGTCAAGGAACAGACATTTCTATCCTAGGAGGGACACATGAGGATTGATCCCTGGATGTAAAGCAAATGTCAAGGAACAGAAACAACTCTACAATGTGACAGTGCAGCTACAGAAGTGGCAGTGGTTAACTGCCATGATTTTGGGCTTTCTCCTTGAGTATAAGGAAATGTTTCTTAACCTAGAAATTAAAAGGAATAAAAGATTTGGAACTGTGTTAAGGGTGACTCTAGCTATTCTTAACTGCCCTGCTAGTGAGTAATGTGATCTTGGTAGAATGTGGCGGCCTTGCCAGTGACCTGATCTGCTTGTTCCCAAGTTCTCTTGAGCCCTCATGTCCCTCTCTACTGTGAACACCTGTAGGTACATTTATGTCATGAGTAAATTGTGGGTTTAGCAGACTGGTGTTAGGTTTCTTTTTCTTTTTTTAACTTTTTAAGATAAGATAGATACTTACTGCTAAGAGTTTGGATTAACAGTTTGAATGTTTATCACTAACAGCTGAATTGCCAAAATAGAAATAGTGTGCTTTGAAATTCTGGGTCTGGCAGGCGAACAGGCTGTAATGCTTTGTTGCTTGTTTTATAGTTATTAAATCCACTCATCAGTGGAAAACACTTCAGGAATACCAAGTGCATCAACTTGTGTTGAGGTCCTAGATTTTTAATGGCTTTAAGCCTTCCATGTCTTGGGAACTGAGCTTAGCCTCTTAAAAGAATTTGCTTTTTTTTTATAAAAATCAAGAGCTTTTGTCCATGGAGCTTTGCTTTAGACCTTAGGGAGTTATTCTGTCATGCAGCTCTTGAGACATACCTTTCTGAGTCTTTTATAGCCTTGGAAAGGGCAAGGAATGCCTAGCACTTCCTTTAAGACAGTAAATCACTTGGCAGAGTTGCTTGTTAAATGAAGTGCCAGCAAGACCATAAGCAGACTTTACTCTGCCTCCAACCCAAATATCCCAGTGGCCTTCTAGCTTTTGCTGGAATCCTGACATATTTGTTGAGGAGCAAAAAGCCTAAATTTGGGATTTGCTGAATCCTCCCATCTTTACATCAAGCTTGACCTGTTGCTGTTCTAGTTTAGGATTTCTGAAATAGTTGCCAGCTGCCCTCAAATCATGAAGGTCAAACACCACAGTATTTTGACTGCTGGCTGCTTCTAGAGGAAACTAGAGCAACACAGCACTTGTTACCTTGAGGAAAATTGCTCATTAAGAATGTTCACGAAGAAGTGCCCATGCCCTGCTGAAATGCTCGGCCAGAAGCCTGCTGTTTGACTGAAGTAAGCGCAAACCCTGGTGCTTGGTCTGCTCCTGAGCAGGCCAAAACCTGAGTCCATGGAAAGCCACCTCTGAATTTGTCATGTCCCTGCATCAGCATGGATTTAAGGATCCATGGCAGCCTTGCTAAAAGCAAAGGACGAAGCTGCTTTGGAGATCCCCTGGCAGTTTGCCACTTTTGAACCTAAGCAGGGGTAAGGTAATGATGTGCACCTTTCTTACATACTAAAGTCAAGGCCAGAGTTGTTAGATTCTTCTTTTTAAGCTGCTTTAGAAAGAAGAGTTTGGATTGTCAGATTAGCTGTTGGTATGATTTTTAAGCAAGTTAATTTTAGTCTTACTTTGGCACTCAGTCTGAACTAGGCATGAGCTAAGGTCCACAGGACTCATAAAAGAGATACATGAGCACATGTGTGAATCGGTGCTCTTAAAACCTCAGGGTTATTGAAAAGTCAGAAAGGGTAAGAAACTGAACTTAAAGTATACAGCTGAAGGGCGAAGTGGGAATCTAGGTATGTTTGAAGATGATGCTTGACTCTGTCCTTACTTTCAGGTTGCACCTGGGAATTCGGTGCCATGGTTAATTACATCAAGAAGACCTACCCTCAGACCCAACTGGTTGTCGTGGGCTTCAGCCTGGGTGGAAATATTGTGTGCAAATACTTGGGAGAGAACCAGGCCAACCAGGAGCGTGTCCTGTGCTGCGTGAGCGTGTGCCAGGGGTACAGTGCACTGAGGTAGGTCTAGAGGCTTCTGGTCTCCTCCGAGGGGTGTGAGAGGGGACAGATCTTTGGCAGGGTGCGTGTGGAAGGGCAAGGTGAAGAGCATGTTGCTTCTCTTGGCGTTGAACTGGTCTGACAGACTGCAGCGTGTGCCACCTTCCTGGAGGAGCAGCCAAAGCTTTGTTGATTTGGCAGCACAAATAAGCTTTCTGTCAACAATGCAAAGAAGTTTTCGGTACCTGGCCAGGTGCATGCTGGCAGCTTCTGGTCTGTGTGTGTGTGAGCTGGCCTAGCTCTGTCTCGTTACTGCAGCGTCCTAAGAGGAGGCATTCCCTGTGAAGTCCTGGTATAATTAACCAGGCAGGCTGGGCAGCATGACAAACTGCTGAGATGATGCCAGCTTTGCAAGCAATAGTTTACACTTTCTCATCGCTCTGAGAAGTATCCCTTGGTTTGTAGTAGATTTTCTGGCTTCAGTGCGTAGTTGCATCAGGTGGCTCTTAACTGGGGAGATTGGGAAGAGATGGACAGCTCATACATTCATACAGTCCGTGGTATTCATACACTCCCTGCTTAGTGTGTGTCACTGAAACAGTGCTGTGGGCTGATGAGGAGATGGAGAAGCACTTGTGACCACGCTGTACAGTTTGGAAGGTGAGGAGGAGAAGGCTTAGCCCTAATGTCTACCTAAAATGCTAACCTGGGGTTCCCCACCTAGATGTCAAGGCAGTCGTGCTTCACACGAACTGTAACAGCTCCATCTAGTGCTAACACTTCCATTTACTGCTGGAGGATCTGGGTACAGCTCTGCCACTGGAAAATCAGTGGCTCGACTAATGTGCAGTAATTTCCCATGTATGCACAGTTAATGAAGATTAAAACAGTGAACTGGCTAAGCTGTTGCTTTTACTTTTTATTGTCTGTACCTATAGGCAACTATTAAGGTGTAGGGCTCAAAAGGGGCTGTTGAGGCTAGGGTATTTGGGTCAAGATCCTTTGGGCAGATAAAAAATGAAGCTGTGGCAGCCCTGTGAAGGGTTTGCTATGGAATTTGCCCTCCCAGCCTGGTCAAGGTAAGTGGAACTCTTGATGTTGCTGATGCTCTGCTATATAGAGACCAATTTGATATTCAGTAGTCTGAATTCACCTTTTATGAGTTAAGCTCTTAAAGGTGAAATACAGGAGCTTTTCTGGAAGCATTAAGATGTGACTGAAAGCTTGATATGCATGTCAGTAATATTCCAGGATACCTAATCTCTTTTGAGATCAAATGTGACTAATCTACTGCAAGGTCCCCATGAGTTCACACCCTTAAAATCTGAACAGATGCTTTCAGGAAGGGTTTTTCTCTTTTGTTTCAAGCAAAATGTGCTTAGTTGTCTTAAGGTTCTGGCATGGAGCACAGAGCATGCTTTTGAAGCCAGCTCCTCAATTGCAGCCATCAGAAAGGGTTTGCAAGGATCACATCTGGCTGCCGTCCACTTGGTTCATCTTCTGGAATTATGCAATATTGTATTTCTGGTCTCCAAAACCATGTTGTGAGTAATGCTGTTCCCTAAGCCGATTTCTGTAGTAGTATGTCATGATGTGCTGGTAGAATAGCAGGGCAAGGACAACCGTGTTTAACAATACTCCACTTGGATGTTTGTGTGGAAAAATAGCAGCTGCTTGTCCGAGTTCAATGCAGGTCTTCAGCGGGTTGTGTGGATTCCTGAGCTCTGGACTCCACCTGCTGGGTAAACATCTACTAGCAAATCTCCAAGCCCAAAACATCTGCTGTGTGTTACTGGGCGATCAGCAGGAAGGCTTTTCAGATCTTGTCTCCCTACCTAATATCTACTTCTGCTGTAAACACTAATTAGCTGAAGAGCTTTGGGAAAGCAACATCAGTAAATATCTACTAAGCAAAAGACAGGAGGGGGAGGGCCTTGTGGCCAGGGTATAAAAGCATGAGAGAGGAGGTATAAAGCACCTCCATGTGGAATGGTTAAGCCTTAGCCTTCCTGGGTTTGGTCTGGTAGGATGAAATAACTGGCCTCATCCCTCTGGGCTACATGAAAGTGGATTACTGTGGGAGACATGAGCGGTTAGTTTATAAATCCACTTTCTTTTTGTATTAGCTTGTACAGCCTTTATCTCTAAATAGGGAGTAAAGGAAAAGTGGTGGTGAGCAAGGTGAACCAGGGATCTGAAATATGAAAGCCTTTCTAGAGCATTAAGCGTGAGTCCCATAGCTGGGTGTAATAAAGTAGCAGCAATACCAGGATCTACCGAAAGAATACGAGACTCAGTTTAATGAATTAACAAAGACTCTGGGGAATGTGTTCCCTGAGGCTAAAGGGGGACACAGCTCCTTATTCCTTAATCTCTGCCTGCACAGGCTTGATTCTGCTTCTTGATCTTGTGGAATGCATCTTCACCATAGCTACAGGCTGTGGGGAGACACCTCAGCTTTGAAACTTGTGCAGTCCTCAGAATGCTGGAAGCTGCCTTTTTTTCAGTGTTTGCAGCTCTTCTTATTAGGAGTGTTACTGTACAGCACAGGAACTGCAGGAAAACGTAGTAGCTTTAACTTCAGCTTGTAGTAACTTAATAGGTTTGCTTGGAAAATGTTTTGTCAAGACAGATATGTGTATCTTTGTCTTCATTCCCTGGCATAAACATGGTAGGTAATCTGGCTAGACAAAAAAGTGTTTTTTTTTTATCTTTGTCTTCATTCCCTGGCATAAACATGGTAGGTAATCTGGCTAGACAAAAAAAAGGTGTTTTTTTTTAAAAAAAATTCATACTCCAGCTTGGCTTACTATAAGAAAACATGGCTTGCTTTTGCTCTGGTGGGGGGCTTGCGGGTTGTGGCTTGGGAGGTCATGCTAAATATGCTGTAGTTCTCATGGTATGTTAATGTTTAAATGGTAGGAGTACTTCGGGTAGCTGAAACTGCTCCCAGCATTCTTGTGTTGCTCAGTAAATGATAGTGTGTTTCCTCAGTAACAGCAAACCCTGCTAAGAGTAAAGCTATAACCTGCCCATGACCCTGCATAGCAAAGGAGTGCTGGTATCTGGCTGAGCTCACAGAAGTCTGGGTAACTTTAATTCTGTTTTAACAACAGATAAGCTGTGAAGTGCTATTCTGCTTTGAGAATAGGTAAAGACTTCAAGTCAGATGCCACTTGCAGCTGCAACTAGTATTTATTCCTGTAGTTCCTGCCAATGAAGCTAAAACAATAATAGTGTCTGTACATATTGCAAACATCTGCGCAAATTATTTCCTCTGCAGAGCTATATACACAAATAGACAACACTTCGTTCAGCAACAGGTTTTAGCCCTTTCCTTGGTAGTCCCATTAGGTAAATTACATTCAACTTAAGCAAAGGGAAACTAAAATCCTCTTGTCAGTGTTGCAGATCCTGATTGATGGCTCTTATTCTCTGATCAAAACTGCTAATTGCATTGTGCAAAATGAGACTAGAGATGTGGTTTTGATACTAACAAACTTCATCAAAGTGAAGTCATTTCCTGGAAAAGATTAAGCTGCAGTGGGGAAGGCCTGGACACTTGTTAATACAGCCTCTAGGCTGCTGTAAGATGTTACAGTGTATTAATCTGGCCTTTCAAGAACCCCATTAACAGCTCTGATTGTTCTGCGCTGTTTTGTTTGTTTTTTTTTTTCTAGGGCACAGGAAACCTTCATGCAGTGGGATCATTGTAGAAGATTTTATAACTTCCTCATGGCAGACAACATGAAGAAGATCATCCTTTCTCACAGGTACTGCAATACATCACTTAGACTGACAGTATTGATGGGGTCAATTGCAATATTGGATGTGTCTTCTCAGTCCCTTAAAATAGGATTCCTGAAAGATTATGCACCAGTTCCTTGCTCGGTGGTCTTTAGATGAACAGAGAAGGGGAGCCCTTGTCAATCTCATTCATACCATGCAAAATATACAAATAAGTTCTGGTCATCTTGTTAGAAGAAAGCAGGCTTTGTCTTTTTGCCTTCCGAGGAAACAATGAATAAACAAGATGTGCACATGAAAACATTGCAATTACACTTCAAAGTGGAGTATTTTGCATCTGTTTCACTTCTAGCCAAAGAATTCCCTATTCAAGGAGCCTCTTGTTCTGCCACCTACCTGAGGTAGGACTAATCTTCAAGATCTGCTGTATGGGGCTGCTGTTTATCAGATAAGCAAATAGTCAAACTGTAGCTCTGGCTTCTAGCTGCTCCTCTAGAATAGAGCATGTAGCCAGCAAAAATACTTAGTGCTACTCTTCCTGGAGTGCAAGTGTACTTGTAGGATCCCTGTGCTTCAGTTCTGATCAGTGGCTCTCGCATAGCAAAGGAGTGTGTGTGTTAAACAGGTGACATGCTCAGTGTTGTTTCCTCCATCAAAAGGTTCTCTAGGTACTTCTTTCTAGGGAATAAGTGTGTAAGTATCTCATCTGTGTATATTTGAAGTTGCCTGACTCGAGGGGGGAAAAAGAGGGGGGGAAAAATATCTAAGAACCCATTCCATTAAGAGCATGTGTCACTTGCAGACTGACTTTTGGTTCATTGTTTATACTCCTGTGTAGTATGAAACTCTTGTAGAAGGAGTAGAAGGAATTAGGGCAGCTGATGCGTAGGATGATCCACATAATTCATTCCAGATTGACAAATATTTAGACACCTTGACCAAATTTAACATGTGAAGTTAGGTAAACCCCCATTAAAAGGTACTTAAATTCATAGCCCAGAGAAAGCCAGGGCTGGCTTGAAGGCAAGTCTGTTAAGTAAACTTTCTTTCTATCATCACTTGTGCTTTAAGGCAACTCCCCCAAATCAAACCTAACCTCCTTTCTCTGCCCTGCAGCTGCCTCTGAAAGGAAATAAAAAAGCCCTTTCCAACTTGTGGGTTTTGTTCCATTTGTTAGGGGAGTGGTTTCTTCTGGTAAAGAAACACATCCTCTCCTGAGGGCAATAACTAATTATGACAAGTGTCCATAGTAAATAGCTTTCTGCAGAGGTAATGCCCCAAGTAATTTCTGCTGTGTGAGCTAACCTAATATCTGTGCTGGGGAGACTTTAGGACCAGATGGTGAAGGAGATGCTGTGCCCCAGACTGCTAGTGGTCTCGCCCAAACCACCCACGGGTTTGGTCTGAAGCCAGAGGACCCTCCCTCTAAGATGCAGCCTCTGGTCCAAATATTGTTAGTGATGTCTGTTCTGGGAAGATTCTTTTTAGAGGCCCCTCACGCAGTTTTTCACTATAACAGGAAAACATTTATTTTTTTTTCTATCAAGAGGCTGCTAGGGTTTCTGTTATGCCTTGCTGCAGTGGGAGGTGGACAAATAGGCTGTGCTTGTTCCCAAGAAAGCCTCAAGTATGGCTCAACTATTCCCAGGAAAGCCCACTTCTAGTCTTATCTCGTCAGACTGGGTAAACTCAGTTGTCCTTGAACAGGTCATGGCTTTGCTGTCCTTGTTATGTTATTTGGATGTTTTTCTTGATGTTACTTTTTCAGGCAAGTTCTTTTTGGAGATAACATGAAGAAGCCACAAAACCTGTCAGATGCTGACCTGAGCAAACTCTATACAGCAACGTCCCTTATGCAGATTGATGATAATGTTATGAGGTATGATCTCTGATCCTCTATAGAACCAAAAGTACCCTCTCTTTCAGGTGTTGCTCTTGCATGCTCCTTCCTCTGGTTCTGGAAATCTACTGAAATAGTGCCCACAACCACAAATTCTTCCTTACCTTATTAAATAAAACTCAAAAAAAAAAAAAAAAACTACTATTGACAGTCACAGCTTCTGTAAAATCATCCAGGAGGCATTTATTTATCAGCAACATCTGAACTTGCAGCCTTCAATAATGTAGGAAGAGGCCAACTGCAAGCTCTAGTGAGAAACAGTGCAGAATGTGGAAAGCAGCTCAGAACTGCCCATGAACATCCTTAGCATGAACAATTCAGGAACATCTTGAATTGGGGAATCAAAGTTCTCCTCAAAAAACACTACTGCCTTCTCAATAAATGTTAGGGTTGGCTGAGATAATACAACTTTTTTAACTTGTCATACTAACACCTAAATTAAGCTCTCTGCTTTATTCAGTGGTAGCTTGTTACTGCCTGTGTTCTTGAAAACAGCATAGCACTTTCTTCAGTGGCAATGTTCATATCATGGCATGTTCTGTATCAGGCACTGACACCTTTCCAAAATGAAGCTGTAAACTGTCAGCTGTACAGCTATGACACTTTTGGCAGGCAGGGAGTATCACTGGCTGCTTCTTAAAAGCCATTGCTAGGGAAATCTCCCTGCTTGTCCATCATCTTTGAAGCCTTCCTAGTTTGGGCCAACAGCTATGTTGTCTCTTAAAATAATAAAAGTCACTTGAGTACAGGTTTACTGAGTTCTTGGTATGGGATGGAGTGCTAAGGTTTTGGCAAAGAACTGGAACCACAGTGAATTCTGCATGGCTTTTAAACAGCCTTTGTGCAATGTGTTTGAGGTTTGTTAACTGTGGCAGGTTTGTATCTTAAAAGACTTTCAGGTAAATATGAACAAAATCATAACTTTTTCTTCTTCCATAAGTAAAATTAGTTAAGTGAACTGGGATACTTTAAAAGAAGTGCCCTGAAGGCTGCTAAACTTCAACATGTGTGTTTAACTTGCTCACAATGTTTGAGTAAGCACAGAAAGCATAAAGGGCTGTGCTGCCAAAGGTGAGTTTTGTGGAGAGACTGGGCAGGGGAAAAAAAGCATTGTCCATGAAAATTGAGGCATCTTTCCTATCTCTGCATCTACGTCCTTGAAAGTAAGAGTCTCATTGGTACTGGAAGCAGATGATGGCAATGACAGTCTTCTCTTTTTCAGGAAGTTCCATGGCTATAATTCCCTGAAGGAATACTATGAAGAAGAAAGCTGCCTGCATTACTTGCACAGGGTAAGCTCTTGCAATAGAGACTGCTCTTATACCCTCAATTTCCTGCTGGAGAGAAAATGCTCCGTGTTTTCTGTTTTCGATACCTAGACACAACTGCCTTAACTGGGATTTTCAGAAATAAACAGGCAAAGTACATTAGAGTGGGATTTCAGTTCTTTCTACCTGTAATACTAGGGCTCAATGCTCTGGGCTCTTAAGAGCTTGTAGCTCTGACAGGCAGTAGCACCTAAGTGATCTTGATAAATCCACACATTCAGCTGAGCTGTTCTGAGTGCATGAGGATAAGGTGGAAAACAAGTGGTTGCATAAACCCTGCAGTTTCAAGGAAGAAAGGCTTGCTAGGTGCTGTGGAAGACACTCAGGATGCTATCTGGCAAGCAGATGCTGAGCAGACCAAAGTTGTGCAAAAGTGGAACTGGAAGATTAATTCCTACTTGATCTACTCATCAAGAGGGTGTAGACGTTCCAAGGGAGTTTCCTGGACTTAAACCAAGGTGTCCCTAATAGAGCTGGCATTAGCTGCCTCATGTGCAAAGCAATGCGGAGCAAGAAAGGGTGTAGCTGTTTGAATTCTGAGAATGGGGAAGATCTGTGACTCAGTCTGTATTTGCTCTGATGCACCCCTGCCCCTTTCAAAACAATTGAGTCAAAAGAAAATAAAAAAAATAAATCAAGTACTGCAGAGTACTTAATTGGTGAAAAGCCACCAGTCTTAATTTTTGATTCTTTCTGCTTTTTTGATGCTGCTTTAGGTACATGGCAAATCTGAAATAAGATGTCTTGAGTTAAGCTAAAATGCTTTTACAATTGGTAGGCTGAAATTCAAATACAGACTCTACTGGTTTTTTCGTTGTGTTTTTTTTTTACCTTTTCTGCTATGTTTCTTGATGCAGATCTATGTTCCTCTTCTCCTGGTTAATGCTGCTGATGACCCTCTTGTGCATGAGAGTCTTCTGTCAATTCCAAGAGCTCTTTCAGGTATGTTGAAGCGGTCTCCTCCAGCTGTGCATATTTGTGTACCTGCAGCTTCCTTATCCCATCATGATCCATGACTTCAAAGCAGCTTGACTTGTCTCCTCACATCTGTAGCCCTGTGGGAGGTGGAATAAGCCTCTTTAAATCACCAGTTGCTACAACTAACAAGGGTTAACCTTGAGCAGGAAAAACTTGAGTCCTTTCAGGCACCTTCTGCTGTTTTGGCCTGTGTTGATAGCCAGCAGGGTACATTTAGGTTACATCCTTGAATGAAAAAATGCTTCTTCCTGTTTTTGTTCCTCACTGGGATTTAGTAGAAAGGTGGGCTATTCTAGTGATAGTCTGATCAAGTACAGATGAACAGCCCCCTTTGCTGATGGAAAGGGTGGGGGGCACATGCATGGCTGTGTTGTTTGGTACTGGGCTACAAAAGGAGTTCTGCAAGCTGGCTGTCTTCAGCCAAGGAAAAAAAGTAAGGCAAATTACCTTTAGAAGCTCAGAAGAGGGAGCTGGCTGCTGCTTCATCACACACATACTGGGTGCACAGGGAGGGAAGCAGGGCTCGTTCTTCTGGTTAGGAGCTGTGAGCAGAGAATTTATCCACAGCTGCTTCCAGACAGAAGCAAGCACAGGGATTTTCTCACTATGCATGTCACAAGGTGGCTGATGGACTGTCAGAGCTTAGTGCAGCTCCATATGATGCTAATAGTCCTAGTTCCAGTGTATTTGAATTAAAGATGCCCATTCATTAAAGAATGAGCATTATTATGGCAATACAGATATTACTATAGGAGCTCAGTCAGCAGCATTTCTTGGGCAACAAGCTTGTACTTCTGGAGTTATGTGCTTTGGACTTCAAAGTAGCCTTGGAGTTCAGATGCTTTGTTGAGGGTTGAGTTGATTATTGCAACTTAAAATGGTTTCATTCTCAGCTCCAAGATGTTAACCTCCTGGAATTTTCTGCCTCCTTTTGTTTTACAGAGAAGAGGGAAAATGTCATGCATGTGCTGCCGCTTCATGGAGGCCACCTGGGATTTTTTGAGGGGTCTGTACTATTCCCAGAACCTCTTACCTGGATGGATAAGCTGGTGGTACAGTACGCCAACGCCATCTGCCAGTGGGAGAAGACAAAGTCTCAGTGCTCGGACACAGAGCAGGCTGTATCTGGCCAGGAGTAATTGACCCAAAGACTCTGGATCATTTCAATATATCTCCCCCTTTGGGAACATCTTGTTCTCTCACCTGCTGCTTCAGGTTTCCATTCTCCTTGATATTCTATGGCTGGGTTTTGATCACAATATCTTCTTCCAAAGTTGGAATTAAAGCAGAGGTTAATATCTGGTTGGAGCAACTTTGCATATATAGTCTCTTGGGTTTGTAACGTACTGCTCTGCTTGAAGAATTAGGTTTCTGACTGTGACTTGTTATAAGGTTGAGCTAAAGACTGCTTGCCGAAGTTTCAAATGTCAAAAACTCTTCACCTGCTGGTCAAAAACTTGATCTGCAGCTTTTGTTTAGGTGTAGATGACAGGGTAAATATGATTCTCTCCTGTCCTGGTGCTGGGAAAATCCTGTACCAAGCCACAAGCCAGTGAGTGATTCAGTCTTATAAGTCACTAAAACGTGGCTTGGAAAAACAGATGGTTGACTGCGAGTGGAGTTCCAGCCTTGCACCGTCTCAAGGGAAGCCTTTTAGTTCCTAGGAATGCACTTACACAAGTGAATCAGTTTAAAAATACTTAACTTTTCCATGCTTCAGCTGTCTGTGGATTGGGGTGTCCTTGTGCTGGGGCTCCAAGTAGAGTAAAGCTGCAGGCTGGCAATATCAGTTAATGTTTCTGTGTGAACATGTTCTTGCACCAAGACCAGATCAGTCACCTTGTCATTTTTGCCTCTTTTTAAATGTAGTCATCTTTTTTTAGTACTGAATTTTTTTTTGTTTGTTTGACCCAGGGCTCTTTAAATCTGGCTCTGGTTTCCAAACAGAAACCAGTGATTAAGAATCTGCAGGATCTTTCTGTGAGCTCAATCTGTTTTTAAGAATATTTAATAGTGAATTATGTACTCTATTAGGGATTAATCTGTTGGGAGGGGGGGAAGGTATCTATTTAGATTTACTCCCCTTATGTTGGGTAAATCATACCAAAATTCTGCCCCTGAGCTTTCAAAGCATCCAATGGTTTTCAGACACATGACTTGCCTTATAGTTGATGGGGACCTGGATGTCTCTAGCCCTGTGCAACTAAATTGGTATCTTTGCATAGCTAACTATTTCCATATCTTGTGTAAACTCTGTAGGCTTACTGACCCCAGTAAGACACTGGGCTCTTCCTTGCTTGAATTCATTTTCCACACCCAGTGTCTTCCAGTTTTAATGTGCAAAGTGTGAAAGCTGTTTGCAGGAAAGATGCCTACTCACTTGTGCTTTTCCCTCAAGTGGCTGTTACAGTCTGTGCCAAGATGGTTAGTAAAGACTCCAGTCTCTTCCCTGGAAGGAAAGTTGTCCCATGACAATCCGGAGACAGAAAGTTAGTGGTCAAAAATCTTTTTTTACTGTTTGTTCTGTCAATATTGTAGTCTCACTAATCCATCCTTAGGACTTCTTTATTACAGTGTCAGTGAAGTTCTTTTCCTGTCATACTTTCCACATCAATTAGCACTTTATTGCTTCAGCCTTGGTCTGTGTTCCAGGCACTTTAGTTTATAGCTTAAGGGTGAAACAAGCTGCAAGACTTCAGTCTGGTAATAGAGGGGAACAAGCCTTCTGGACTGCCCTGTCCCTGAACTTCAGTAGGTTGGAGAGGTGAGTTTTTGTTTTAATAAAGCAATAATTAACTATTGTAGCAAAGGTGCATTATCATATCAGGAAATTCCTTTCATTTGCCTTAGGCCAGACACCTTGGCCTGTTACAATGAACTGTGGATATCTGCACATCCTCCTCTTCAGTAAATCCAGGTTTCCTTTTTTGCTTCAAGGTAAAGATGTGACCGAGTAAAGCTATAGCAAGACTTGGCCGTGCTTGTGGCTGTTCCTTAAGAACTATTTTAAGGCATCAGTTAGCAAGGATATTCTTAGCTGATGGAGATCTTGTCTCTGTGTTATCTTCTTATTCATGCTGCATCTGTATATCCCTAAAATCTGTCATAAGACATTTCAGATTTTTGCTTAAGTAACTGTTCATGTAATATTCATTGGATATGACTTAAATTATCTTCTCACCTCAACAGAAGTTGAGCGTAAACAACACTTGTACACATCAAATAGATACAGTATAAATTTAGGTGGGGGGGTATGGTTTTTATCTCCAGTGGGTTACAACTTGAGAAGTGTTTTGACTTTCATAGTATGCTGCAGCTGTAGCTTACACAGGTCATGGCTGGCTGCCCTGAGGAAACACAACTGCCCTTCCTGTGCTTCATGTGTCCTCCCTCAATCCACCTTTGCTGTGCTGAGATGAAGATCAGCTTCAGACAGCTCTAGAGGAACAGAAGTTACTCTTGGTACTGATACCACTCTTGACATGAAGGGCCCATCATATGACCCAACATGTGGATACCTGTGAAAGAAAGGTCAGTGTGTGTCCGTCATCCTTTGAGAGCAAAATATCTGCCTTCCTCAACTTGAGAGCCTTATCAAAAGCAGGGATGCTCTGCCCAGCTCCACAGGTGACTGAAGCTTTGCCTTTCTCCCCAGGATCCCAGACTGGCAGGAGGCTGAGAAATGGCTTGGTTCTCTCTGGGAAGGTTAATGTTGAGGCAAAGCAAGTGTTTTGCCCCTGCTTTTTGGCCAAGTCTTGCCAGTCCCTCTGAAAGCAGAGCTTTGTCCTGGGAAGCTGTTTCTTGAAAGAAAATTTTCTCCTTCCATGTTGTAAAGAAGATCATTCTTGATGGACCAGGCCTTCAAACAGTTTTTTCTGTTTCTGAGGTATGAGGAAGATACCTTCTTGTCAAGTGTACCTTTGTTTCAACCTGATTTCACTACAGCAGATGGCCAGTCAGTCAAAGACCCAGTTCTAAGCAAGTCTCCTAAAATGAGGTGGGCAATTCTCAAAGCAGCAGAGATATTTTTTTTTTAAGTTGGAGGGTATTTTTGAGGGATACTCCTTCCTGCCTCACAACCCAAGCTTTCATACTTCGGAAGTACTGATGCTGTGGACTTTCTGAAACTCTCAACTACAGAAGTCATATGGGTCTGTCTTGTTCTTTTGACCTGTTTTTGCACTTGCAGCTGTTCAAACCACTTGTGACTTGACCAACTAATTGTAGCCTCTTTGGGGAAGAATTTTTTGTCGTGGCCCGTTTCTGCAAGGTTTCCAGAGCCTGAGATTCAGCTTATTGAGCTTGTTGTAGGTGGAAGCAGTGGAGGGAAAAAGAACTGTTCTTTTCATCTTGCCCAATTTGATGCTGCTTTCAAAGAAAGGCTCATGGTGTCAGACTTGCAGCAGTAACTTAAAGATATCTTCAGAAAGTGGGAGAGGAGAAAGTTTCAGCTGCTGATACCTAGTGCCAGTACCCCAAGATGTGTGGGACTTTGTCCGATCCTAATCTGAAAATCTCTTCTCTCAAAATAAGGCAATACCAGTCTTGTGATGTGGGCAGCTGGTATTTATTTGCCCAGTGAACTCAACCTTAAATGCAATCTGAGTTTCTAAGTCCTAGAGGTGAAGTCATCTTTTTCATCACTTGTCAAGACACATGAGGCTGCTGAAGTGTGCACTTTTAAATCATTATGGTGTAGTCTGACAGTGCAGTTCAAGATCACAGCATGATGAGTCTGTTGTGTGCTCTGAGTTTCAAACTGGGTTTAGAAAAAGCACGAACAGAGCTCTTCCACAGGTAGTCTCGCAGTATACACACTTCTTTCTCCTCATTGGATGTAAGTAGCACTTGAACGTAAAGCCCAAGGACTCTCTCAATCAGATAGCAAGTTGCAGAACTGTAACTCCTTGATGGTTAGGCTGGTCCAACCATCACTTTTGTCAGTGTCTGGAGAGATCTGAAGATGGTAGGTGAGCAGCCAGGACTTGCTTTTACTGAACACAAGGAACTTGCAGCTTCCACTACATCAGATCTGCCAGCATTTTTAATGGTCCCTTGGTTAGCTTCTAAATTGAAGGTGTTTTCAGGTGGGTCTGGCAGTGTTGTAGTTGCAATGTAAAGAGAGACACTTTACCTTCCCTGCAGTCTTTCTCCTGAGCATTTTTCTGCAGTTTCTGTTCATAAAGATATAAGTTTCAAAGATGGGGCATTCAGCAAAGATGTTGGGAACTATTAGCTCCAGTACTGAATTTAGCTAAGCTGTGTCATCTGTCCTGGGTCTGTCACAAGTTCCTAGACCACAGCTCTTTGACACGTGGTGCCTTGCCCTTTTTCTCCTCTTCCTTTGACATCAGCATATCTAGAGACTTCAGTAACAGCTCTGTGGAGCTTTGGGGGCTTTGTGTTTTAGTGAGTGAATTTTCAGACACTGGGTAGTGAGACAGCTCTGGCGATGTACACTGTACGAGCGTGTGCTGACTTAAAGGACCTCTGTGGGCAGCCTACAACTAGCTAGTCTTTTTCAAGGCTTAAAATAACAACATATATAAGCAGTGGATGATTTTTTCAGCTCTCTGCTCCTCTAGCAGTAGGGATTTGAGTCACAGGAGGTTTTGCTTTGCTTAATATGTGACTTGTTACCTTACAGTCCCAAAGTTCTTATGTCTATTAACTCTCCAGCAACATAACTGGAGGTAGGTTGCCTAAGTGACTACATCTCAAAAGAGCGAGCAGAGAGTAGCAACTTCAGGATTTAATTGCCAAACAGTTTAGTCACCAGGATTGCTTCCACGTTTCTTCTAGAAATACTATGCCTGTCCGGAGCTTACTGAAATTCTTCACAGCCTTTTTCCAGGAGACCAGAAAAGGCCCTTGCCTTGTGCTGCATGTGTAAGTCCCTCATTGTGAAGAGCACCTGGTTTCTGGCTTGAGTCATGCTCCATGTGTCCTTACTCCTTAGGTGGGTCTGTTGGTTGGGTAGGTCCTGGAGCCACAGTGACTCAAAGCAGTGTCTCCTTCATGGCTTCTAGGTGAAAAGCAAACAGCCCTTCCTGGTGTGAAAACTTTGAGTCTCCAAGGTTAGAATGCCTCAGAGCAACAGCAGCCCAGGGAAGGGGTGCCTTGTCACTGCACCCCTTTATCAGTGGTGTGTCTGTTACACTGATGTGGACTTTCTCAGCTGTTAGGGGAGTCAAAGCAGTTGCCAGCTTTCCATGCTGTGGTGGAAGGGTTTCTAGGGTTATTCTGAACATCTCTATTCTTGGTTTTGCTGGTTAATCAATGGACACAAACACTGCAGTCTGGGGCAGCATT